TTGGCCCTCGAAGCTACACTGGGCCGTGGGGTTACAGCGGCAAAACGGGGGATCAGATTGGAGAGGCCGAGGTGCAGAGATTGTTATGCGGGCCCCCCTGCGGGGTGCCGCTTGCTGTGGGGGAAGACAACGTCCCTCTGCTCATAGGACTTCCCCACTCGCCCAGTGGAAAGGCAGAAGGGTCTCTCCCCCTGCGCATAAGAAATCCCCCGAAGCGCCCCAAAACCCCACGACTGGTACCCTCCCCTGCAAGCAGGAATAGGATACCCTGATCGTGGAAGCGGGGGCCGCTTGAAGGAGGTCAACCGCGCGTGGGGAAGGTGTCTGTCCTCCGTGGCGGTGGCACGGCCAAGGTGGTGCGTCCCCCCAACATAGATCCCACCCCCAATCCATAGGCTGACGCGGGCGACCGTTGGTCGCAGCTGCCGTTGCGATTGCTGCATGGACGTAGGACCGAATAAATACAAAAGTAATAGGTGGGGATGGGACGAGGGGTGACTGCCAAAAATGTGCACACAGCGGGCACGCGGTGACTTTGGCCTGCTGACAACGGCCGCACCGGCCCTTGCCGCGCGGGCCTGTGGCGGGTTCCCTTGATCGGCCCACCCTCGAGTTAACCCACGCCGCTCCGCCGCCACAAGAGGGGGGCGCGGTGAGGCTAGCGAGTTGAAGCGGGGGGAGTGGGGCTGCAAGAAGGAAGCCAGGAGGTAGGCAGGGTTGGAGGTTGGTGAAGGCCTTATTTCAGCACGCACGTCGGGTGGAGTAGCAAAGCTCGTGGGTGGGAATGCCCCGCAGGGACCCACTGGGTAGCACAACTTTCTGTTGACGCTGCCGGCGCGCGCTGAGACCTTTTTCCTGCCTTGCGCGTCAGCTGTGCCAGCACAGCCCGCGGTGAGAGTGCCCCTCGAAGGCCCACTGCACAGCATAGCTGATGTTGACGTCGTCGTCGGGCGCTGCACCCGTGGGAGTCGCTGCTGCTGCCGTCGGAGGGCGAGCCTGGAGGTGACCAGCGGCGCGGCTGCTGGCCCTGTCGGTGCGCTTTGGTCAAAAATTAGTGCAGAGGTAGGGGCAAGAGACCCCCAGAAAGCCCCAAGAGGCCCCCACGAGGCTTCCAAGCGGCCCCTAAGAGCTTCCCAAGAGGCCCACAACTACCCCCAAGAGGCCCCCAAGAGCGCTCGTCGTCGTCGTCGTCGTCGTCGTCGTCACCATTCAGGGTCGGCGGCACCGGCCGTAAGGCCTTCGCAATAATGCAGAGATAGGGGGTCGGAATATAGCAGCTGGCGCAGCGGGCCAATTCTGTCCTGGGGCAAGATCGGACGAAACTGCGCGCGCTGTCGGAGGAGGCGGGCGCGCTGATGGGCCACTGCAAGGCCGGCCCCATCGAGAGGCATCAGCCTCTCGGCTGTGGGCAATCAGGGGGGACTCTTCTGATTTGCCGCGGCTTGATCAGGCTGCTGGTTCTTGGGGTACTGCTGGTACTCAACCTCCCACTGTGTCCAGGGAGCGGAGCCGCCGTCTGCTTTGGTCTCTTTGTCAGTGCCCTCGTCGTGGGCCTGGTTGCTGTCATGCTGGTCGGTCGTTGGTCGGATCTGTACCGTATCGGGATTTGGCTGCTGGTAGTTGCTCGAGGCTACAACCCAACCCGGGTCGGTCTCTCCTGTGGAGCTCTCTGCCGGTTGGTTTAGCTGCCAGGAGTCGGTCATGGCCGTAGTACTGCTGTCGGTGGTTCGGTGCTGTGACGCATGCCAGTTTCGGCCGCTGAATTGGTCAACGCTTGTCGGTTGCGAGGGTGCTGCTGCGGCGCCGCGAGTTCTGCCAGAAGTGCCTACCTGCTGTGACTCGGGAACCTCCTGAATCTGGTTTCAGTGGTCTTTCTGTGTCGGTTGCGCCTGCTGAGGTGGGTCAGTCAGTCGCTGCACGTCGGGTAGGTCGGCTTGGCAGTCGGCTGCTGAGTCGGAGCTGGGATTGGCAAGGTGGTATTGCGCTTGTGGCTGGGTTGCTTCTGGTTGCTCTCGGTTGCCGTCGATCGTTGGGTCGTTGGGTTTTGAGTCCCGTGCGTTGGTCAGCTCGGGCATATATTGCATTGCTGCAGTCGCGGTTATGCCCTGGAAGCGTTGAAACTAACGCATGGCCAGCTTGATTGTCATGATCATGCTGCACCGCTGCGTAGTCATAGCATGTGGCGTCGGTAGCTCGTCAGAATCGTCGTCGATATCGCAGATCAGCAACACTGCTAGCTGGTAGTTGGCGAACTGGGCGAGGTGGGTCAGGCGCTCACTCACGTGGAAGAGTCGCGCCTTTAGTTGTCAGTCGCACAGGAAGCCGCAGCTCAAATATACCTCCACGTAGCACATGGCCTGGTCATACCCGAGGCGTATATTATCTTCTGCCCCGATGTTAAAATCGTAACGGTTGTTCGCGTTGCTCATGTTCTCGCAAGAGTATGAGATGATGTTGTGGGACTTGACCTTGAAGTCTATGGATTCGGAGCCGCATGGAATCGTGCTCTGCTGATGCTGTTGGTCATGCGCTCGATCAGTGGCCATTCCCAGATCTCATGTCTGGCGGCGTCTGTCCCGTCGGGGGCGGAGAGGCATCTCGAACACTGTGGCCAATTCGTGGACGGTGTTGGCGCTGACTTGTACCGCCGGTTGCGTGGGCGGGGCTGTCGTCGAGGTACGAGTTGTGATGCAAGCCGCCACCGATCCCATGCTTTTCTGTGGCGTCGTTGGTGGTGGCTGTGCGTGCACCTCTTGCTCTTGGTAGGGGGCGCGATGCTCATTCGGTATGTCCGTAATGTGTCCTCCTTGGTTCGCGTTGGGCAATTGGTAGCAGTACAGTTGGGATGACGATATCTGATTCGGGCTCTTTGATTGGGGCCCGAATATTGATGCTGTCATTTGGTGTCGGTGGTGTTGCTATCGGCCTGGGTGTCCATGCGTCCTGTCGCATACAGGAGGCTGTCGCGTGGTTGCTGCTGATTCCCCCTGCTGGCCATGACCAAGTGAATGTGACGGTGGGTAGCTCGTCGACTTCAAGAACTGGTCGTCTGGACGGTGCGTTGGTCCGTGCTGTGACTGTGCGGCCAGATCTCGCCGATGATCCGTAGGACGCCCTCCTGCGTGGTGAGGAGGTCATTATGGCTGCTGAGCGGCAAGGCCAATAGTCGTGATTGAGGGTTGTCTGTCGTCGCCAGCTCCAACACTTGGTCATTGTCGAGGGAGCTGAGCGTGTTCTCTAGGTTGTCTACATCATCCGTGAACTCGTTTTCGCTCTGGTGCCTCTTGATGGTAGTATGGTAGTTCCGAGGACCGATACGTCGACGCAGCAGGAGCGTGCCCGTGACGATGGCGATCTCGATCTCGGCCTCTGCAGAGCTGGGGGTGCCGACGGTGGCGGGAGCGGAACGCGGCCCCGCGTAGCGACGGGTGGGTGCTGCATGTAGTTACCTCTGCCGTCGTAGAAACAGGCAACAGTCATCGTGCTGGCAAGAGCGAGCTCGCTTCCTTCTCGTGGTTAGCGGTACGTTGCCTGGGTCGTCCCACGTTGTTTCCTGCGTGCCCATGTTGAAGGAGTACACCTGGGCGTTCCACATGTCCAGTTCGCCCTGGTACTCATAGGTAACCCATGGGCGCGGTAGAAGCAGTCGGTGATTAGGAGACGTAGGTAGCCCGTTGGGGAGCCTCGCGCTTTGCAGGGCCCCTCTCCCTGCCCATTTGCCTATGACTCCCCTTCCTCATCCAGCCTCGCGCTTTCTCCTTGTTTCCTTCTCTCTGGCGCGGCGCAAGCAGCCTAGACTACGGCCGCTTGATACCTGTATTAAGAAGACGGGCCACTTCCTTCGAAGCCTCGTCGAGCGCCATGGCTTCTGCTGCAAACACGCTGCAAGGCGCGTGCAAAAACGTGCCGTGGACCATCAGGGGTTCATATGTGTAGCCTCCTGGCACTCCAGCCCACAAGCCGATTTTCCACAAGCACACAAGCCGATTACCCCACGCGCTTCCTCCTTACCCTCATGCGCATCATCCTCCTCATCATCCTCCCGCACTCCGTCTCCTCCTCTCCTCATCATCATCATCCTTCCACGAGACGGCGGGGAGGATTGCGCAGGAGGAAGATGGCGCCAAGGGAAAGGCTAGGTGCCGCGAAGATCGTGGAGGGGGGGGGGAGAGATGGATGCCAGAGCTGGCACCAGGCAAAACCGGGGACCGCAGGCATTGGAGGCGAGGCGGATGCCACGAGAAGAGGGAGAAGGAGAGGGAGCGGGAGGAGGATGGAGGAAGATGGAAGTAGGATGAAGGATGAAGGGAGAACGCAGAGGATGAAGACGAGTGTGGGAATGGGGCGACGACGAGTGCGAGGGGAAGAGGACGAGGGTCAGCATCAGGATGAGGACGGGAGGGGGAGGGGGAGGCGGAGGCGGAGGAGAGAGGGGGGAGGAAGGACGAGAAGGAGGAGGAAGACAGCAGCGGACCACGACCCAGACGGCTGGCAGCCCGGGTCCTTCAACCTTCAGAGCGACACAGCAGACCCTCGTTTCCTATACCTACCTCCGCGGCGGACACCAGCTCCGCATCACCCTCCATATATCCGACCTGCATACGTAGATGGCCTGAGCGGCGAACATCGGTGAACGCTACACCAGACCTTCCACCACGATCGTCACCCGGCCTATTTCCACATGGGCGACGAACAAAAAAGGGTCTTACGCGAGAAGGCTTGGCCCGCATCTACAAGTAAGGCCCGCGCCGTCTGAGAAGCAGGGGTGTTTCTAAGAAACCCTCCCCCCTCCCCCTACCCCCCTCCCTCTGCGCGTGGCGGAGGACCCGCAGCGGCGGCGGCGGAAGGGGGGGGGCTCAGGACTCAGGACTCAGACGCCCGCGAAACAGTCCCGCGACGGGATCCGCGCCAGGGGTGTGCACGACGCCGAGACGGCGTGCGGGCCAAGCGGAAGAGGGGGGAACGAGGAGAGGGAAGCAGCGCCAACGGGGGGGGCGCTCCTCGGAGTGGTTGTCGTTGGCCTCCATGAGGTCGAGCACCTGGGCTGGAGGCCAGGGCCCGAGGGGTGCGCGGGCCCTCCTCGATCGCGTCCACTGGTCCTCCTCCTTGCCAACCTCGGCCCTGATCCTCCACCGTCAGAGTCGGACACCAGAGGATGCACTGCAAAGGCAGCAGCCTCGGGGATCCAAGGGCCGAGGTATGCCCGAGAGGGGGAATGGCCACGAGGCATTCCGGAAGCTCGCCTCGTCGTCTGTGCAGGAGCGCTCGCCATAGCTGGCGCAGTAGTTGCCAGCCTTGAGCTTGATGATCCAGATGCCCTCGCCAGAAGACCCGCGGTTCTTGGGAGCGGCTTTTCAGTGTCAGTAAAGCATCACCAGCGTTGAGCGCGCACACTTTTTC